TAGCATCCTTGGGGACTTCCTCATCCTCCTCATCCTGAGTCAAGTCTAGGACTTGCTCATTTTGAGGAAAAGACTTGGCCCCAGCAACATCTTTGGACTTTCTCACTTCTCTTAAATGGAAATGCTGACACTTTCTGTTTCGTAATTATTCTAGGTGTCTCAGTTACTAGTTAATGCTATAAGAGTACACAAAAAATGAAAGCAAAGAAACTGGTAGTTTTTCTGTTTTCTTATTTTTCACTATAGCAACTACTTCAGTTTATCTTGTTGATAGAATTTAGGTTGTGTTTGGCGGTTGAACCATACCCAAGAGGAGCTACGTGGCATGTGGACAATTTTGAATTTAATTTTTTGAGGGAAGAGTTGTGTTTGGGTAGAAATCGTTATCATAATTTGGACTTGAGCTTGGCTGATGCCTTTGTGTTCTAGGTGAAGCATATTCACATGAGCTTTGATTCCAAACTTCGTAGGGAATCAATAAAAAAACTAGAATTATGCTACCTGCAAGTGGTTTAATGGTGGTCTAAGGTTATGATAAGCTTGTAATTTTGAAGCTAGGATGAAAGATGGTAGGGTTATTGATGGAATCATTTTGAAATAACTAAAGCTTTTAAAGTGTGAGGTGTGCTTGAATTAAAAGTTTATAAGGTGGCATGTCGTGTCGGACACCGACACAACACGACACTCATGGGAAACTTCTTGACCTTTGCCAGAAACACCTCCAAACATGTTCTACTATTTTTTAAAATATTTTAGACAACATGCTTTAAGCACTTGGGGAACATGTGCATATCGCTTAGACACATGAAATACATTACAAGTTTTGAATAAAATAACTTGGAATTCAATGATAAAAGACTAACAATGCATTAGCAATCTTTAATTTAGTTTAATGCTTAATTTAAAATTTACTACTAAAGCTTTATCTCCATTGATTTTGATAGGAAAAGAATATTTAGAAAATATATATATATAGAGAGAGGTAACAGAAATAAAAAGAAATGAAGTTAAAAGAAAGGAACGAACAAAAGAGGCAAAGAGTTTATATGTCGGTAAGTATACTTTGTCAAAAGTACATGGATGCCGGTAAATATATTTTTGTGCAAGCATATATGTCAGTATTTTCCTATCTAGTGACCTAAAAAATGCTTACTTTCCCTTTCATGGTATAAAAAATAGCCCACCCTATGGCCTAAAAAATTCATTTCCTTGGCAAGTGCCTCAAAAAAAAATAGTCCGGGGATAATGCACGTGTTTGGTTTTCCAAGAGACCTAAAAATTCAGCACATAAAAAACAACACTGGATATACACAATTTTAAATTTTACTAACTATTTTAGGCTATTGTTGTGAAAGTCCGAAACTTAGGCAAAGCCTTAGACAACTCAATAAAATATTGCAAGTTATTAAATAAAGCATTTTGTCTGGGCTTGAGATAAAATGTTAAACAAAAGTCTGGATGCCTTTTTGACTGTACTAAATTTGCAATTTTCTCTTCACAAATAAATGGCAAGTTCCTGAGTCATACTAACGTATAAATTGGTTATTAACTTCATTGATGGATGCGAAGCGTGGCACGGAAGGGCGCAAGGATTTTTTGATTGGCTATCAAGGTAACTTAGTGGATTAAGCAATTTTCTTGTTGCTGTAAATTTGAATTATGTATTGTTTCAATTTGTTATGCTAGATGGATGTGACTTGTGAATGAAAATTTAGAATAGTTGTATTGTGTCGAATGTTAATGAATTATGTATTGTGTCGAATGTTAATGATTCAGTTAATTTGAAGGATGCTTTAAAATTATAGGTTTATTATGGATTGAATGAATTATTAGAAATTACAGGTGTATTGTTTTTCTGCTTTGGCGACCAATTTATTAATCGCGACAAATAAATAATTTTTTTTCGCAAAAAATGACAATTGCCGACTAAGAGTTTTGGTCGCAAAAAATACATCTATTGCCGACCAAAATAGCTCTTGGTCGTGGAAACTCACTTTTGCCGACCAAAAGTTTTGGTCGCAAAAAGTAACAAATGGCGACCAATTTTTTTGGTCACGAAATGTGATAATTGACGACCAAAAATTTTGGTCACGAAATGTAATAATTGGCGACCAAACTTTTTGGTCGCAAAATGTGACAATTGGCGACTAAGAAATTTGGTCAGGAAAATATCACTTTTCGCGACCAAAGTGTTTTAGCGACAAAATAAATTAGTCGCGGCAATTAAATATTTAGCGACCAAAAATTTAGTCGACAAATCAAACTTTTTCCGACCAACTAAAATTTTGGTCGCGAATTACTTTTGCCGACCCTCAATTAGCGACCAAAGTAGCGACCAAAAAAATTGGTCGCGGATAACTTTTGCCGACCAAAAATTGACTTTTAGCGACCAATTTTTTTTGTTGCCAACAGTGTTAATTCTTGTAGTGCTGTTTGACGGTTTTGTCATTTGGTATTTGACGGTATTTGCACCTACACGCGGAGGAATGCAAAAGCGGAACATATCCACGCGTCAGAAGGAAGACAGACAGAGGGGAGCGCGTAGAAACTATATAAACGGTGCTGAGCCTCCATGCACAGGTCTAGAATATTTGGTTATTAGAGCTACCTACCCTTTTGCCCTTCTCTTCTTCTTCTCTTTTAGTGTGCTAACTTGACTGTCGAAGGGTTTTTCCAGCAGCGCACCACCGGGTAGCTCACCGTCTTATGTTGTTAGGTCGTTCAGAAGGAAGCAACGCTTGGACACGAGGAGTACGGATAACGACAAATATTTGTTCCCCGGACAATTGGCGCTGTCTGTGGGAAGCTCTAACAGACAAAACCTTGTCCTCCAAGTTTTTCCGACCACTTTTCATGGCTCATAATGACGAAACTCCACTGTCTGTCGTCGATGGCATCACCCCAGAGTCAGTCCGAAGGAGAGACGGACCCCTCGCCGTTCCGAACATGGCGGGCCTGGAGACTTCTTTTGGAGGGCTCCCCAAAGACGCGCGAGATAAGCGAGCTAGGAGCACTGATCACTCCCAAATTCAGATGGACATCGGCGGCAAAGAGAGTTACACGCTCAACGCCTGGAGCACAAATTGAGGGACCAAGACGCCATCATTAAGAGGATGGCGGCGGAGATGGAAGCGCTGAAGCGGCAAGTTAAAGGGAAAGGTATTACTGGAGTGGGTAACCATAGTGAGCGCACCTAATCCCGTCACTCAAGCAGCCATCACCAACGAAGGACGCCTTTTCTTTCCATCACTAGAAACTATGGAGTTGGTGACTTTGACCCGCCAGCGGAGAAGTCTCCTGCGTGAGATAACAGCTATTGTCCCCCACGTCCATCGACAATGTCGAGATACTCTTACTTCGCCCATTCGAAGGACTTGAGGGACGTCTTGGAAGAATGAGTGCATTGGCGGGAGGCGCAAAGGGTGCCGACATCGCAGCGGCTATCCCACAGAGGTCGCGCTAGTGAAGAGGTCATAATGCCACCACTACACCCAGCTGTACATGTCTCTTTTGACAGAGACTTGGCAAGGCTGAGCACCACCCCTTTCTTCCTTGAGATAGAAACCACGTCGCTCCTTGTGGGCTTCCACCAGTCCAAGTTTACGCTTTATGATGGAAAAATTGACCCGTACACACACGTGAGCCATTTCTGACAGGTCATAGTTGGCTATAGGCAAAGCGACGCACTTATGTGCCTTATTTTCCCATCAAATTTGGGTGAGTTGGGCTTAAAATGGTTTAAGAGACTATCGAAGGAAAGTATCAAAAGGTGGCAACAACTGGCGGAAGCATTCGTGACCCGATTCAAAACCAACACTCAAACGCCCAAAGAGATCGACCACCTTCTGAGCATCAAGATGGAACCAAGCGACTCATTCAAGGTGTACAATGCCAAGTATTGGGAAAACTTCAATGAGATTCTTGATTGCCCGACCAACCTGGCGATCACACAGTACAAGTGCGATCTCCTAGTCGGGCATAGGTTGTGAGACTCACTCATCATGAATCAGCCAGCAACCATGGAGCTGTTGATGCAGCACATCAATGAGCATATCTGAGTTAAAGATGATGTCGCTGCAGCTACCGCAAAGGTGAATCCGATGGCAGCAGACAAAAAAGTGGTCGGAAAGGTTCACGCAATCGAACAGAAGGCAAACCGTTCGAACAACCGCGAAAGAGAATCAAATTGCGGTGTTGACTGTAACAATCAGGGTAAGGGTTGTTGTAACAATCGAGCTGATTACCCCCATGACGTCGTAGAAGATGCAAAGAGAAAGTTAAACGTCCAAACCAGCATTACCACGGTTCTTAAAATCTCGATCTACCACATACTTAACGAGATCCGCAATGAGGCATACGTTCGGTAGCCAGCTAAGTTAGGCGACATGCAACGAAGCTTTAATCTGAGGTCTTGTTGTACCTACCATGATGAGTGCGAGCACCGCATAGAAGATTGTGTCCTTTTGAAGTAGCATTTGGAAGAGTTGGTGGCGGCCGGCCACCTGGACCGTTACATTGATGGAGGGGTCAAGACCTCGGCCCACATTTAAGCCGAGCCAAACGGCTTGGCCGCTTTGGAAGCAACCCCTTAAGGTGTAATCAATGTGATCCATGGGATCGTCGAGCTGGCACGAGTATGCGAGCTTCGGGGGATGATCAAGAAAGCGGAGCATATGAGAGAGGTTCTGTTTGTCCAACCCGCCGTCAATAATGGCAAAACCAAGATGAATGATGTAATAAGCTTTTCTAGTCGAGATCTTGACCGCATTCAAACGCCGCATAATGATGCGCTGGTGGTCACACTTCGTGTGAAGGACTTTGACATTAGACGCATTTTGATCGACCAGGATAGCTCAGTTGAAATAATGTATTATGACGCCTTCAAGCAACTCAAGCTCTACGACAAAGACTTGGCCCCAGCGACCTTGCCACTGGTCGGTTTCAATTTGCAACTAGAGTGGTCAGTAGGAAAGATAATCCTACCGTTCAAAGCGAGGTCTGTCGTCAAGCAGGTGGAATTTTGGGTGTTGAAGGTGCCGTCAATATATAATTTGATCCTAGGTTGAGGATGGTTTCATGCCATGCAGGTGGTGGCATCAAGCTACCACCAGGTCATGAGGTTCCCTTTTACCACTAGGATAATTGAAGAAGTTCGGAGAGATCAAGTTTTGGCCAAATAGTGTTTTGTGGCCGTGAACGGAAGTTGGGCTGCCAAAGGCTTCGTACAGATGATTGAAGGACGGGGGGATCAAAGTGTCTTGGACGATGTGGGTACCAGGGTCGAAGAGAAGGCTGTTGAAGACTTGGTGGAGGTAAGGATCAATGACAGTGATCCTGAAAAGTTCTTTCTATTAGGATCAAGCTTGACTGCCCAAGAACGGTTGGATATGGTGAATTTTTTGATCGCAAACATCAAAGTGTTTACATGGACGCCTTACGACATGCCTAGCGTCGATCCAAACTTTATTTGCCACCAATTCAATGTTTTCCCTAATTCTTGGCTGGTCGTTCAGAGAACACGAAGATCAGCGCTTCATCATTCCGAGATGGTGGCGAAAAAGGTGAAGAATTTGCTTGAAACCAGGGCTATCCATGAGGTGCACTATCTTTGGTGGGTTTCAAACACGGTCGTGCTGCCAAAGAAGAATGAGAAATGGCGAGTTTGTGTCAACTACAAGTTGGTCAACCGAGCTTGCCCCAAAGACAGTTTTCCTTTGCCCAGAATCAACCAACTAGTAGACCTTACAGCCGGGCACAACCGGCTCAGTTTCTTAGATGCATACCGCGACTACCATTAGATCGCTATGCATGAGCCCGACCAGGAGGTTACCTCTTTCACAACGCCAAGGGGGTTGTTCTACTATAGAGTTATTCCCTTTCAGTTAAAGAAAGCTAGAGTGACCTTTCATAATATAGTTACGAAAATGTTCGCTCCCTTGGTCGGCTGAACAATGGAGGCCTATATCGATGACATGGTTGTGAAGAGCAAAAGTGAGGCCGACCATTTAGCCGACTTAGCGAAAATGTTCAACATTCTCAAACGACACAGGTTATGTTTGAATGCATCAAAGTGTGCCTTCGGCGTGGGATCAGGAAAATTCTTGGGTTTTTAAGTCACTAACCATGGCATTGAGGCAGATCCCTCGCAACTCAAGGCCATGCAAGAATTAAAGTGGCCCAATTCAGCAAAAGACGTACAACATCTTGTCGGGATGGCAGCCGCACTTAATAGATTTATTAGTCAGTCATCAGATCATTGCAACCATTTCTTCCAAGCCCTTAATTCCAAGTTTTCATAGAACGAAGAATGTGATAGAGCCTTAACCGAGCTAAAGACGTATCTATCTTTTGCTCCACTCCTAGTCACGCTGAAGCAAGGCGAGGAACTCTATCTTTATTAGGTCGTTTCTCAACATGCTGTCAGCACAGTGCTTGTTCAAGCAGAAAGCATAGCAAGACCTTGCTCCCTGCAGATTTGAGATATTTGCCACTTGAGAAACTGGCCTTGGCATTGATGATGGCCTCCAAGAAGTTGGCACATTACTTCCATGTGCATACGATCGTTGTGCTGACTGAGTTCCCATTGAAAGCCTTGTTTAAGCGGGCTGAATTCTCCGGTCGAATCTTGAAGTGGGCAGTCTAATTGGGACAATTAGACATCAAGTCTCAATCCATAATTGCCATTAAGGCCTAGGCATTGGTGGACTTCGTTGTAGAATTCTCACCAGGGACTCACCCGGTTTGCCTGGTGGACCTAACCAACACAACCGGACTAAGGGGGTAGGCATCGCGGAAATTGCATAGCCAACTCCCACCTCGATCCATATCAACCCTTCTAACAAGCCAAATATGGAAGGCAATGCAAAAATTGCGCGCCCGAGCAAAGACCCATCACTTGAAAAACAACCACTTCTTGGCAATGCGCTAATGGATTTGGAAATAACAGGACAACTTGTTGGATCCAACATTGCATCGCCAGGGGGAATGAAGGCATGCAAGTTGCAATCATCACCGGCACGATTGATGCGGAAATAACCGAGTAGCCGAGCAATTCAGAACACTTAAACCTTCAAAAGTCTCAAGATCCTGCAGAATGTTGGAAGTTTTTTATTGGCGAAATGTGGAAACTTTTGTCGATGGCACTTTAAACGGACATAGAGATGGGCTCAGCGTAGTTTTGATCTCACCAAACGGACTAACCATCGAACATTCCACCATGCTTGGGTTTCTCACGTCCAATAATGAGGCCGAATACGAAGCACTGCTAACTAGGTTGAAAAATGTAGTCCGACTATAAGCATCCGAGCTAATGGTCTACAGCGACTCCCAACTCATTGTAGACCAAATGTTTGGGCAATATGAAGCTGAAGATGATAGAATAGCCAAATACCAAACTCTAGTGAAAGAGCATATCAAAAAATTCCCAGCCATACGAGTTCAACAAATCGGCTGAGCAGAAAATAGCCGGGTAGACGAGTTGGTCGATTTGGTCTCCATGGCAGAAAAATCAACCTTCAGCCCTCTCTTGATTGAATTCCTCCCATGACCCAGCATAGAAGATTCAGAGTAAACAGAAGTCTTCTGTGCCGAGCTTGGTCATTTTTTGATGGACCCTATTATTCTTTTCCTGAAAGAAAGAATCATGCCGACTGACAAAAAAGAGGTAAACAAAGTCTGGGTGAAATCTGAGCAGTTTTGGGTTTTTCCGTCTGGCACTTTATATAAGAAGTCCTTCACCGGTCCATACCTCAAGTGCGTCCATCCAAACAGAGTCGATGCTTTTCTTTTTGAAATCCATGAAGGGATGTGTGAGAGTCACATCAGCGGAAGATCCCTAGCCTACCGCACTATCTTACAAGGATACTGGTGGCCGTGCATGGAGGAAGACGCACAGAAATATGTGAGAAAATGTGATAAGTGCCAAAAATTCGCCCACCAAATTTATCAGCTGGCTAGAGAGCTTCTCTCTCTCACAAGTCCTTGGTCGTTCGCGATGTGGGGGCTAGACATCGTGGGATCACTCCCAACCACTCCAAGCAATCGCAAGTTCTTCATTGCAACAACAGACTATTTCACTAAATGGGTAGAAGCGAAGCCCTTGTCAACTATCAAAGAAAAGGATGTGAATAAATTCGTCTGGCAGAATGTGATAACGCAGTTTAGAGTTTCTAAGGCTTTGATTTTCGACAATGGCACCCAGTATGATGGGCGGTTGTTCAAAGGATTCTGTGAGGAATTGAAGATAGAATTTTACAATTCAACACCGGCCTATCCTCAATCGAATAACCATGCCGAAGCATCAAACAAGACCATTCTAGATGGATTGAAAAAAAGGCTAAAGAAAGCCAAAGGCAAGTGGACCAAGGAACTTCCAAATGTTCTCTGGGCCTACTGAACAACGCCGAGACGCTCGATCGGGGAGACGCCTTTTGTTTTGGCATATGGTATGGAGGCGGTCATCCCATTGGAGATTGGTATGCCAATCATCTGCAGTGAAAATTTTGAGTCAGATCTGAACACCGAAACCATCGCCCTTAAATTAGACCTTGCTGAAGAACGTAGAGAAATGGCAAGAACTGTTTAAGAAGTATAACAAGACAGTTAACCCTAGAAAATTCAAGGTTGGAGACTGGGTTTTGTGAATGGTGATGGGCAACACTCTAGTACTGGGCGAAGGAAAGCTAGGGGTAAATTGGGAAGGGTCTTACAAGATAATCGGTTTGGCAGGCAAAAGGGCATATCGTCTGGAAGATTTGGACGACCAAGCCATACCTCGGCTATAGAACGCAACCAACTTAAAATTGTATTATTTTTAGTTTATACTTCCATTGTAATTTTTGTAGAAGGTAGACGTACCCCTCCATTTTTCAATGAAATTCTTTCATGAAATGTCTCTAAAGGAAATGAATCAAATTACTATACTTGGAAATTTTGTCATGATTGATGGTTCGAAATGAATAAGGGGCAACTGCCTCCCAGTTGAGGCGACTTTACCCGGCTAAAGAAGCTAATGACTTGTTCAACTCTAAGTGTTAAGCCGAGATGTTTTGTCCGGCTAAAAGTGTTAATGACTTGTTCAACTCCAAATCTTTAGCCAAGGTATTTTACCCAGCTAAAGGAACTGATGACTTGTTCAATTCCAAGTGTTCAGCCAAGATGTTTGTCTGGCTAAAAGAATTGATGACTTGTTTAACTCCAAATCTTTAGCCGAGGTATTTTACTCGGCTAAAGGGGTTGATGACTTGTTCAATTTCAAGTTTTTAGCCGAGATGTTTTGCCCAGCTAAAGGAGTTGATGACTTGTTCAACTCCACCGACTGAAGGAGTTGATGACTTGTTTAACTCCAAGTTTGTAGCGGAGGTGTTTTGCTTGGCTGGATGAGTAAATGACTTGTTCAACTCGAAGTTGTAGCCGAGGTGTTTTGCCTAGCCTAAGAAGTTGATGACTTGTTCAACTCCAAGTTTTCGATTGAGGTGTTTTGCACGGCCTAAAAAGTTGATGACTTGTTTAACTCTAAGTTTTCAACCGAGGTGTTTCGCCTGGCCTAAGGAGTTGATGACTTATTCAACTCCTAGTTTTCAGCCGAGGTGTTTTGCCCGATTGAAGAAGTTGATGACTTATTCAACTCCAAGTTTTAGCCGAGATGTTTTGCTTGGCTAAAAGAGTTGATGTTTTGTTCAACTTTTGACTTGTGGTTGAGATGCTTTGCCCGGTTAAATGAATGGGTGCTTTGTCCAAGAATATTGCGTAGTTGTAAAGAAGGAACATAATGTAATCGCAAGTAACAAAAGTTGTAAAAAAATTTCATTGATTGAGATTGCAAGTATAGAAGTTGGGGCAAGCAGCCCGGTTACAAAAGTTCAAAACGAAAACAAAAGTGAATTTGAAACTAGACTAAGGGGGAGAGGTCGGCGAAGTCATCTCCAACTCCCTCTGCGGCGGTTTCCAGGTCGACCATGGCAATCCTTTCCTCGTCGCCGGCCCCCCTTTGGTCGGTCTCCTTTCGACCGCCTCCTTCCCCGGCCTTCTTCTCGGCCTCTTCTCTGGCTTCTTCCTCAGCCTACTC